CGGAGCACTGGACTCTTATGGACGTCGCCTACATTTATGCGTGGAAAAGGGTATACCGACTTATATTTTAACGTCGCAAGCTTATTTTTTCGATGATCTAATCCTTGCATAATCAATTTCAGAACGCACCGATGCGATTTTTTTATCGAGTTGCATTGGAAGAGCAGAGACTGGAAGCACCTCCTTACGACAGACCTTCTACGCCAGGTTTGGGCGCAAGTTTTCCTCCCATTGATGCGCCCGTCGCAACGGGAGACAACGCTGACACGGAAAATTCGGAGAAAAAGCCGGAATCTAGGCTGAGCAGCGATCGATGCGCAGTTTCGACCGAAAAGGCACGGTCACCTAGTGAACAAGCGCGCGTGAAAGTGGCCAAAGAGGTCGAGACTAAGGAGGAACCACCGTCGAGTAACGCAGTAACCTCGACGACCGTCGCTTCGACCACGGTTTCGATAACAGCTTCGAAAACGATGTCCACGACCACGACCACTATTACCAACACCGTTGCGTCACCCGTGTCGACTGAAACGAACAAACAACAGATAAAAACACCGATCAAGATACTGAAGAATCCGGATGGCAGATACGAAGTTTTGAGAAGTCCTCCCGGCAGTTGGAGCTCGAAAGAACAGAACACCACGACCACGTCCAGTCCAGAGTTCAGCGTCGTTAGCATTGGTAACGGGCAAAACTCGAACGGAGTAAAGATAACGTTGAAACAGTGTACGCCAAATAATAGTACTCCGAACAAACCAAAAGTTATCAGCAACGTGTTGCTACATTGTGGTCAGATGGAGAAAGATTCAGCTGGTTCGTTGGTCATTCAACAGTTACAGAGAGACAAGGAGAAACAACAAGCGGAGAAGCAAGAGAAACAAAGACGAAGGGTTACTTTCGTGGAAAGATCGACTCCCGAGAAGAACACGACCAATAACGCGTTGAAAACCATACAAAAAAAGCCTGCGGAGCAACAGGAGAAGAAACGATTCCTTCAAAGTTTCCAGTTAACTGCCAGAGAACCGGGAACGGATACGTTAGAATCTAGTTTCGAATCGAATAAGGTGAACGCCGTTAACGAAACCAACGAGCCTCACAATAAGGGAAACGTTACTCCGAAAAAGGAACAGGACAAAGTTACGGCCGAGTCGTCGAGTAACGCGGAAAACGCGAAGAACAAGAACAACAACGAGAACAGTGGTGTAAATGCGACGAGTGCGAGCAAACGCGTAGCAACGATCGGCGGATTGACCGGTAATACGCGAGTGAACGCGAATAAACAATGCAGTGATGTGGATACGTGTGTATTGAGTTATACGAAAAGCATCAACGCGAATAACAATTCTACGAAAGTGGACGTGTACACCTTCTCCAACGATCCACCGATTGTTCCAGCGGGAGCGGTGAAAAGAAAATGTCCACCCGGGCTACCTATCTGCGATATCAAACGAAAGAGACAACATCAGGTACAACCTCAAAGCGTGAAGAAACAACCCGTTGCTCCTCCACCGCCTGCTGTACAAAATACTCCCAAGTCGCATCGAAAACTCCCCAGCGAACACGTTATTCCCGCGAAGAGAATGGCGACTATGGCCGGAGAAGCTGGTCCTAGTCGAACGCCGACGACTCAGAGCTCCAAAGTTTCGCCCAACCCGGTGCTGTCGCACGATACCAGAAACATACTGGACGGTTGCGGATTGAACATACCCGCCAGTCTCAGTATCACCCTCACGGCACCCAAGTCTCCGGGCAACAGCGGAGGATTCCCTGAACCCAACGATTCCAAAGACAACCGTAAAAACACGCTGGGAAAAGTGAGTCCGAGCATCACTTTGAACGATAGGTCTGTGGATCCTCGTGTACTGAAAGCTTTGAAAGCCGGACAAATCAGAATGCCTGCACCGCCAAAACCGAGGCAGACCAAACAATTGGAGCGCGAAGGGAATCAGCAGCGACCACCGCCTCCTTCGAAACGCAAAAGAGACCAAGATTCGAGGGATATCTTGGATCTCAGCGGAGGAAAGAAAGTGGACATGCATCCGTTGAGAATACCGCAGCCTGTTACGAAACTGAAGACAAAATCAACTATCAGAGACGGCATGCCAAGCATTTCGGAACAAGGACAGGTTGTAACGTTGATGAGCGGCCACAGGTATTATCGAGCACCACCCGGTTCTTTGACTCCAGCAGCGCATCGAGTCAGCGACTGCCCCTTGCCTACACCAGTTCGAACACCGGTCTACGCACCTGGCCTTTCTAGTCCCCTGAGTAGTAGCAGATCCAACACCAATCTCTCGTCCGTTTTCCCCAGCCTGCAGAGTCTTTACGCTCTAAGTCAAGCACCGAATCTCCAACAGTTTCAAATGGACGCGAGACTAAGATTACCTCGACCAGCGGATTCCTCCAACACCGATAATCGAAACGCGAACAGCAATTTGAGCGGCAAAAGTCATCTAGCTGCTCAGTGCGCGCCAGTTAAGCCTGCCAGGTCGTCGATAGCTCCCTTGGTTGTTCCTATTACCAAACAGCAACAAACGAGCGAGAAAACCTCGCCCCCGTGTCTAAGCAGACCAACAGCGAACGATACGAACAAAACACCCGCGTTTCGCAACAACGAAACCCTCGACTCCACCGAGTCTGCTCAACAATTGTCCGTCCAATCCAAGTACTCGTCGGTCACGGAAGGCGACAATCGGTATTCACCACGAAGCTCCAACAACAGCGCGGAGAGCGACGAGAACAAAGTATCTACCGATGGACCTCGCGACTCCAATTCGGAAACGAGCAACGATTCCAGAAAAGAACCGGACAATTCGTCGCGGCAGACGCCTCATCGCGAAGCAGCCAGCCCCAGAGTATCGTCTACGGCTTCTCCATCTCCACCTCCTGGAGATACCAACGCGAATACGAGCAACAGCGACAATTCTAGCGGTCGTAAAGATAATACGAACACAACCTCGAACGGTATCGACAATGATTTACCCGCACCCAGTCCAACGAAAAATATGGGCGCGGAGGTATCGAGCAGCAAGTCACCCGCCAGTCCAGACTCCAGCTCGGTAACCATCGAAAGTCCTTCCAGCAAGACCACGGAGCAAGGGTTTCCTTCTCCTTCCCCCGCGTCGGAAGTAGCAAAGCCTTCGGAACATTCGACGAAAGTGGACAACAACGTCGTCGTGGAAGAATCGACGAACGACAACGACAAGAAAGCTTCCTTCAAGCACATCGACGCGAAACAGCTGACCTCAGAAATGTTTCAAAAACGATTGTTGGCTGCGTTCCCTTCCAACGAGTGGGCCAACAATCCGATAGCCGCTGAACACTTTGATAATTTTTTAAAAAGTTTGAAGTTTATCAAGTCGGACGGTAACAAGCTGGACAGTTTAGCGCCAGAGAAGATCGAAAGTGGTCAACTAGCGTGCAACGACCCAGCTCGTTTAAATAACGAAGCTTCGTCCAAGTCGCGAACAGACGTCGTTGAATAATTTACGTTCGTAAATTGATTTGAAAGCTGCATCACTGCCGAACACTGATCGTAACGTTATCGAATGACTTTTAGCGTGGATACGATTGTGTAATTATCCGAGACACTTCTAATAGAATGTGGCGTACACGCGCCGAACAATACAGGGAAAATAAAACACAGCACGGACGCTGGTGATGTTATTTTTTCAAATTTTTTAAGGACACGCATCGTTCATGAAATTTCATCAGTGCATTGTTGCTTGCTGGGTGAATTAGCAAGTTCCACGAGTAGTCGCTCGACTTTTATAAGGGATCAGATTTTTCTTTTCGAACGAACGATACAAGGAATGTCACGAGAACGATCGGATTCGTATTATTTGTACGATGATTTCCGTTTGTACACGTGCAAAGATTGTTCCTACCTCGGTCCACGTTAGAAATACGAAAAAGTACCTCGCATCGTGTTTCAATCCGATATCGTGATTTATTTGGACGATTTATTTACTTGAATACATAGTATCTACGGCTTCTCCATCTCCACCTCCTGGAGATACCAACGCGAATACGAGCAACAGCGACAATTCTAGCGGTCGTAAAGATAATACGAACACAACCTCGAACGGTATCGACAATGATTTACCCGCACCCAGTCCAACGAAAAATATGGGCGCGGAGGTATCGAGCAGCAAGTCACCCGCCAGTCCAGACTCCAGCTCGGTAACCATCGAAAGTCCTTCCAGCAAGACCACGGAGCAAGGGTTTCCTTCTCCTTCCCCCGCGTCGGAAGTAGCAAAGCCTTCGGAACATTCGACGAAAGTGGACAACAACGTCGTCGTGGAAGAATCGACGAACGACAACGACAAGAAAGCTTCCTTCAAGCACATCGACGCGAAACAGCTGACCTCAGAAATGTTTCAAAAACGATTGTTGGCTGCGTTCCCTTCCAACGAGTGGGCCAACAATCCGATAGCCGCTGAACACTTTGATAATTTTTTAAAAAGTTTGAAGTTTATCAAGTCGGACGGTAACAAGCTGGACAGTTTAGCGCCAGAGAAGATCGAAAGTGGTCAACTAGCGTGCAACGACCCAGCTCGTTTAAATAACGAAGCTTCGTCCAAGTCGCGAACAGACGTCGTTGAATAATTTACGTTCGTAAATTGATTTGAAAGCTGCATCACTGCCGAACACTGATCGTAACGTTATCGAATGACTTTTAGCGTGGATACGATTGTGTAATTATCCGAGACACTTCTAATAGAATGTGGCGTACACGCGCCGAACAATACAGGGAAAATAAAACACAGCACGGACGCTGGTGATGTTATTTTTTCAAATTTTTTAAGGACACGCATCGTTCATGAAATTTCATCAGTGCATTGTTGCTTGCTGGGTGAATTAGCAAGTTCCACGAGTAGTCGCTCGACTTTTATAAGGGATCAGATTTTTCTTTTCGAACGAACGATACAAGGAATGTCACGAGAACGATCGGATTCGTATTATTTGTACGATGATTTCCGTTTGTACACGTGCAAAGATTGTTCCTACCTCGGTCCACGTTAGAAATACGAAAAAGTACCTCGCATCGTGTTTCAATCCGATATCGTGATTTATTTGGACGATTTATTTACTTGAATACATAGTAGAACGAAGCACAACGAAAATTTATCGAGACGATACAAATTTGCTTTCCTATTCCGTATACAGGCAACAAAGTATGATAGATACGTGTACGTAACAAGAAACATAGGGACCGAAAAATTGAAGAGTAAAGAAATTAGATATACAATTATTCGCATAATGTACGAGCGATATATTTGTTAGTTCTTTTCATTAACTTTGCGTTACGTTTCACTATCAGTTACTATTATGTATACGTTGTATGATAATTGTTACGTTATGCGACTGTATTATATACAACTGTATTATTTCTTTATCTGTATATACTTAATAATTACGTTAGTGCATCATTTTCTCGCGAGATGCGCGCAAAATCCTATTACTTTATAAGCTCGAAAACATTCAATTCGAATCGATCGATCGAGAGTTCGTGTAAAATTAATTCGAGTCAAAATTTGTCGAATACAATTGCATGAATATTGATTTTGAACAACAACTTGACATGTAATAATGAAAGAAAATATTATTATATAATCAAACGTGCAATCGTTATGTTTTTTTACAATCATCCCGTGTCGAAGATTCTGAAATTTCACGCACATTCGAATGTTTGATATGACCGCTCATTTTTAACATAATGGCGTATCGTGACGACACCGTTTCGAATTGAATTTTTGTATTCGTACAAGCGTAAAGAAAATATAAATTTGCAGTACACATTTTACCTCTGACAACCGTGACGGACAGATTTTTAACTTCTGTAACAAAAAATCATAGAACAATATTAAAACAACGATCTTTTGTAAGTTTCAAATCTTTAAACATTTGAACATACGCCATTATTTATTTAAATTATTTAGATTCTTTTTCCTTTAAGTAAAGAATAGTTTTTAATGATTTGTTTTCGAAGCATACCGTTCAAACAATATAGCGTGACATTTAGCTACTGTATTTTCATATCACGAACTATATTTCGTCATTTTACACTACTTTTTTAAACGTTTTATCACTCGGTATTTTTCGAGAGAACAAATCTACGCGCTGAGGCGTTCCGCAAACTACTGACTAATGTCTTCTGCCGGAAGTAATGCATAATCAGTTGAATGCACGAACAATACTCATTACAATGTATATATTATTTTTCGTAGAAACTTAGTGCATTAATAATCATACGAAATGAGACACATGTTTGTAATTAAATAAAATATTTATTCTTTTTAATATTACATATATATTATATGTGTCGTATAATATTAATAAAAATAAACGATGATGGAACATCCGGTTTTCAAAGCAGACCGTGGCGCCATTCGAAGGAGCGAATTGCTCTAGAATTATGATTCTCTAAGTAAATGTATAACTTTAAGGTTATATATATCTGAGGTATGGTATTCCAGAAATTGAAAGGTTAACCTTTTGTGTGATAAGTGTTTAAATGAGTACAAGTTTTAAGTTTGTTTAAGCGGTACAAGTTAAAATGAGTAATACGAAAGAAAATTCTACAGCTCCAGCAAAAAATACAACTACAGGAAATACCAAGCCTTACGGGAAGATTGTATTAACGTTGCAAAATTGTCTTTTACCCGAAGAAAAGCTTAATTCGACGCCGTCGCATTTAGATGGGTTGGATGCCGAAACCGAAACTGATTTAAGGATATTAGGATGTGAACTTATTCAAACGGCTGGTATTTTATTGAAATTACCGCAGGTTTGTGATTTTGTTTGAAAGTAAACAAAATGTTTATATACGGTATAACCTCTATAACCTCCAAACATATAATCTTTCTTTATTTTACCGCTTCAAACAGGTTGCAATGGCTACAGGACAAGTAATATTTCAACGATTTTATTACAGTAAATCCTTAGTTAGACATAATATGGAAACAACTGCAATGGGTTGTGTTTGTTTAGCTAGTAAAATTGAAGAGGCACCTAGACGTATCAGGGATGTTATTAACGTATTTAATCATATTAAACAAGTCTCTAGCCAAAAGTAAGTATAATTTCATATCAATAATATTATTATTTAAGTACCCGTAATTCTTTTATATTTATCAATTGCTTACTTATTTCAGACCAATACAGCCTGTGATCCTCGATCAAAATTATGTAGCTTTAAAAAACCAAGTGATTAAATCAGAAAGAAGAGTTCTGAAAGAATTAGGCTTTTGCGTTCATGTAAAACATCCTCACAAAATTATTGTTATGTATTTACAAGTGCTAGGATATGAAAAAAATCATGCTCTGATGCAACAGTGTTGGAATTATATGAATGATTCGTTGAGATCAGATGTATTCTTGAGACATCAACCTGAGACAGTTGCATGTGCATGCGTGTATTTGGGAGCAAGGCAACTTCAACTTCCTTTACCTACTTCGCCTGCCTGGTTTTCTCTCTTTAAAGTTAACGAATCGTCAATTAGAGATGTATGTCGCCGCATATTGCGGCTCTATTTTCGACCTCGTGTAAAACCCGAACAATTAGAAAAACGCGTAGAAGAGCTCCGTCGTCAGTACGAAGAAGCTAGAACAAAAGCAAGAGGGGGAGATGTTGATAGTCACACGCCAAGTCCACCATTGCCTAAACATCATAATGCCTGGGGCGGATTTATTAGCCGTAGCGGTACACACGCGGCACCCGAACGTACAAAGTCACCTAGGTAGAGTATTGCTAACAGAGTACCGTAAGAAACTTTATTTCATTGATCTGTTCTTTATATTTAATATATTAATAACTTTATTTTTATATAGGCGCTCAAAGTCTCCTAGTACTTCACCATCTAGGGGTGAAGGAACAAAACATTCCAAGAGAAAGAAACATAGTAGAAGCAGATCTCGCAGTCATAGTCATGGACGTTCTCGGAAACCGAAGAAAGCGCAACGAAGGCGATCTGGCAGTCATAAATCGTCCCGTAGTCGTTACAGATCGCGCAGTCGATCTCGGGATAGAGATGTAGAAAAATCAAGTAAACATCGCAGTAAACACAGACGGCATTGACTTGTACAATATATAAAATATTATTTGATACGTTACAAGTGACACTGCAATCACGTTAGCAGTTGCATCCATTTTATAATATAATACGAGGCCTTTTTTACCTCTGTTAATTGACATGCAACTTGAATAGGACAATTAATTTCTACTGTATGATACATATCTTGAGTTAATTTAAAAATTGTAGATTCCAAACAAATTATTTCTAAAAATATTAAGTCAAAGTACCTCGAAAAAAGCGGTACATTACCGGAAAAAAATATTACAAATAATGATACTTAAGAAGGCGTGTATTTAATACAAATACAACTTGAAAATAAAGTTTTATATTCATGTATCACTTTGTATCATTTTATAAAATCCGACCGGTGTAGCTTTTTTCCTTTCATTCGAGATTACTTGTGAAAAGTCTATTGTTACTAATTGTGGAAGGATATGAACGATATATCCCCTATACCCCGGAATATTTTCGACAGGATTTCCATGCAGTGATAAACATCTAAGATTATGTAAACCTTTTAGTTTTATAATGTCATTGATGTCCGAAATTTTGTTTCCATGTAAGTACAAAATTTTCAAATTCGGAAAGTGTACAATATCGTCACCAATGCTGCTTATTTCGTTAAATGAAAGATCAACCCAACTAAGGAGCTTAGGATCATCGAGAAGTTTGCGTACAAGGTCTTCGAATCCGTCCATTGAAGTTAATAAATTATTGCTTAACCATAACGAACATGTCATAAAACGATCTGCAGATGTTCGCATTGGAACTTTACCCGTTCGTACAGCCTGTGGTCGTTTACCTGCTAATTCTCTTGTAATAATAAGAAAGTTATTCATATACACAATGTGCGGATACAATTTTATAACTTTGCATTATACAACGTACCATTCAGCGTAGTTGCATTTTTAAAGGACAAGTCCAATGGGGGAGCTATCAACATTTCTTGTCGTTCGGTTCGTCTGTAATCAGAATGGGGATCCTCGTAAGTAATAGTATCCATTTCAATCTATTGAATATCGTTGAATAATATTTTTAAATAAATTTTGATAAAATTTCTCCAACATTAATGTTCCCAGTACATTCGATATGTTTATTAAAAGTCACATATCAATTCTTCGCATATTATTACAATTTTTCGTTATCATCCAACTATCGCCATATAGATAGTCACTTATCCAATAATCGTTATATATTCTCAATTTGTTAGAAATTTAACTTGGAATTAAAAGTAGCAACTTGTACTTAATTTAATAGGTATCATCAATTTATATGTTTAAATTTAGTAATTTTATAAATAAAATTACGCTTATTTTGAAAAGTTTACCGCCGATAAAATTAAAATTGAACAAATTATTTCGATGTATTTTTGAACACTCGAAATGTAATACAGATAAACGACGCTAGAGCGCTTACTCCAACATTCGTTTCATAGCATCAATTTACCATCCTACATTCACATGAACAGTGACGTTAAATTATAAACTTTTAACGGCGGCAAGGAGAATCAAAAACATTGAATTCATGTAAGCAAAGATTTTGTAATTACTCAAATTTATAGAATTTGTTTGAAGAATAAACAAACTCGTGTAATACAAGAAAATAGTATATAGACTTCTGGCATTGCGTTTATTAAAAATGCCGCGAACGAAAAATGTTCGAAAACCAAAACAAGAACAGCAATTTGCCGAAGAAAGTGATTTATTAATAAGAGATTTTGAGCGTCAGGCACAATTACGAATTTTAAAAATGGAAGGAGAAGCAAGAATGGCAATAAAAAGCGTTGAAACTTTCATTGATGTTACTCTTTCACGGCTTCCATCGGAAATACGACAAATGACTCTCGGTGAAATACTTAATTACGAGATCGATAATAAGAAAGAAACTTGTGATGAAGTTTCGTCGTCAGTGGATGATTGTTCATTACCGTCTGTCACAGTAAAAGTGAAAGGAAAGAAAAATAGAATTACTGCATCCGACGACGGATATGTAACCGAAGGCGTCGCTACAACTCGCTCGTCTAGAGCACCAAAAATTACAGACAGTACCTATGTTGGTAGAACACGTAGTAGTTCAAGAAACAGTAGGATTAAGCATAGCGAAGTTAATCAAGACACTGTAAAGAAGACAAGTAAAAAAGAAAGAATTAAAGAATCAATGAAATCAAATAAATTCAAGACACCTGCAACTTTAAAACCTGGAAATCTTGAGTTTGGTCTTGTAACTCCAAAAATCAAACCAAATACACCATTAAATGTATTAAGACGTCCACGACAAGGAGAAATGGTTCTTAGTATGCAAGGTAGTCCTTTATTAGTTTCTGCAATTGTTCAAGAAGATACAGCTAATATTAATGTACCTTTGGCCAATGGTAACGTTATATCCCTATTACCTAATGATGGTTTACGTATGTCACATATTCCTGAATTAGATCCAGAAACTATGAGGCAGCTAGAAACTCTAAAGAACCATATTGAGAAAGTTATCTCTGCAAAATAAATATAGAATCATTGATAGGATAAATTTCTTCCTGTGCCTTTTATATCTAACTATTGTGTTAAGACATGATGTGTATTTTGGATACTTTGTTACAACTTTATTGTAAGCAGCATCATTAAAATAAACTAAATTACACTGAATTTAATATATTTAAATATCATTTACTATCGCATTTTATCTTGACATTTGTGTAATGTATAATATATAAGATCTGACTACTAGAAAACATATATTATTTTTCTACAAATTAACATTTAAGATAAAATTTTTATGTAATTAAGATTAATATTAATAGCAACAGATGTATGTTTTTACGCGATTGTAATAAAAATTGAGAAATATGATAATTGTGTTATAACTTGAATATCCCAATACATCATAAAATTATATGTAATGTATACCATAAAAAAATTTTATAGTATACCTTCAAAGCTAAGTATGATAGTATTTACGTTTATTATATTTATAGTTTGAAACATGTATTTTCAATAAAATAATATATAATAATATACCAAACACTTTTAATCTTTTAAAATGGTAAATGTTTCGCATTCGATAGGCGGTAAAATCGGGGCGCGTAATTTGCACATGTATATATACGTGCTAATTGTAAGTGTACATGCGCATACAAGTTTGCCTACTGTCAAACCAACGGCGTATTTGCATTCTTAAAATTTTCATAGTAACAGTACATTTAGAACGCATTAATCATGTTTAAAATATCTTAGTGGTCTTTCTAACTCGTATAAAGTGATGTAGTCGTCCTACATTTCACTATAATTTGTCATTTCCAACATTATTCGTTGTATAACAGTGTTGTACATGTATGAAAAGTGAATTCAGAATGTCGAAGTACACGCTACTGAGTTTGTTAACACGGATTTATAGGCGATTACAATCATTACAATAGGTTTCTCCTAACTTTAACGCACTGAGCTAATGTTAAATATCTTTCCTTGTATAATTGAACCTATACCTCGCTATAATTACAAGGTTCCAGAAAAAAACAACGAAATTACTACTTCGTGTCTCTCTATAAATAAGTTATATTAATTAATTATGAAATGCAAGTTAACCTTCAATAAAAAATACACTTTTGAATGATATTGATTTAAATCATGTATACAAATTTTTATTCAATTTAATTCAAGAAACAATCATAATAATTTCCTTCTAAATATAACATAGATATGTTTGAGAGGCTCTTATAGTATAACATTCAACATGGTGCGTGTAATCACAGTACATAATTTTTTGGGACAAAACATTACCCAAATTGAGGAACCAACTGCAAGTTGTATAGCAAATGCATCTGGACGTGAAATGCTCCTCTTAGCACTTTCAACGCATTGCGTTGAAGCGTGGGAATTGATGATGTCTGATATTAAACTACATACTGTTTTTCCAACAGTTGATACCATTAATCAAATGGTACATTGTACCAAAGGAGATTATGTTGTAACACTAGAATCAAAAGTGATCAGAGATGCAAGTGTTAATAATCACATTGGAAAAGCAACAAAGTTTGTTAGAATTTATGTAAATTGGGCAATAGTAAAAGATCAAAGTCAACCTATGCGTGCTAGAATAGCAGGCCGTGTCACTCCAAGTTTAAATCGACCACTAAATAGTTTAGAAATGATAGAACTGCCATTGAGTGTGCAACCCACATTAATTGCTTGTTGTCAGAGTACTGGTAATTTGTTAGTGGCCTCAGGAAATAGTGCCATTCTTCACGAATTCAAGATTGAAACTCAGCAAGTATCAAAAATGAAATTTATAGATTTTGAAGCTAGACCATGGTCATTAGGATTCTCATTTTGTCCTACTCATATGGAAATTGTTGAGGACTTTATATCAGTCATGAATAAATCGAATTTATGTGTTTTTCGATTGACTAATTCAATGTATGAGGACATTGACCAATTGAGTTCTTTAACTTCTACAAATTCTTCATCCATTGATAAAACTTCTATATCCACTGATTCCTCGCTCGTAGAAAATAGCAATAACATGGGAAATCAAGATGACAATACAATATTAACAGCAACAAATTCAAAAGGCAAAATTTGTGTTCAAGATCTCCACTGTACTATATCAGAAAACAATGATTCCTTTGGAACAACTACAAAATCCAAAAGCAGAAGACATAAAAATTCTAAAGCAAATATATGGAATAAATTAGAAACAGGTGACCTGAAAAAAATAAAATTTAATAACAATGAAGCTGTTGTAGATTTGGATTATTTAATGTACAATGAAAAGGATGAGTTACAAAGATTAATTGACCAAGAAGTTATAGATGGAAGTTCACAATCATTGACTATCAATTTGCCATCTATAAGTTTAGAACGAGCAGGACCTGGGCATACTTTAAGTCCTTTCATACTGAATCCATCAGACATAAAAATTATAATTAAAACGAATTCTCCTGATCTAGGATGGTCAGAAAATTATACAATAAAAACTTTGTTGTCTCTTAAAATAATGGCAGCTAATAATAATTCCAAATATGATGGAAATTCTGAACTGTTCAGTTGTTCTTTACTAAAGCCATTGTATATGAAAAAAGAATGCAGCAATTCTTGCGTGAAAAAATCGATTCTCAGATCAGACAAGTATACACATTTACAGGGTATAAGCTGTTTATTGTGTACGCTTCAAGAAGGATATCTTTATCATTTCTCTGCTAACAGCTCAAATCCTACAGATGTAACTTGTTTAACTACATATCCATTTACTGCGCCTGTTAATCACGTTGCACTGGAACACACTGCTTTACATGCATTGACCGAAGCTGGTCTCGAGTCTTATACATTACGCATATCCCATCATATCGCAAGAACGACGAGTAACATCGATAATATAAAAATAACATGCCCTAGCGTTTCTGAGCCTGTTTGCTTGATCGGTTTACGACCGTTTCTAGGCATACAGCAATTACTACACAGTAAAAACTACTTAGTTCTTTTAGCTAAAGCTGATAATTCTTGGACTTTGTACTCCTTGATTTTACCGAAGCTGGAAAATTTATATTATGACATTTTAAATGCGGCAAGAAGTCACAAGTCTTCAAGTCCCAGCACTTACAGACATTTATTGGGCGAAGCTCATGCTTTGATACGTTTGGCAAAAGACACTGACTATAATAGTTCGGACAAAAATGAACTCGATGATAGCGTTAACAAAAATGGGTTAAAATTGAGGAACTTGTATAATCAATCGTGCGCTCTGCTCGGAGATTATTATATCCGTTCCGAGTACGAGTCTGATTGGGATTTCTGTATACCTTATTACAAAATGTCGGGATTAAAGCCCACAGAAGTATTATCAAGAAAGTCGAGTCAAGATGCACCTGGCCTTATTACATTTCTAACGGATATACTTCTGACGATGAAAAGTGGTTCAGAAGCTGATGCCTTGTTCCAAGGATTTAATATCGTGGAAATTATTAGCAAATTGAAGAAACTAGACTTGCTGAAACTGATCTTCAGTAGTCCCGTATTGCGAGAATATACTACAGAAAAATTAATCCATATCTTGTTACTATATGAAACGGACGAGTTAGTCAAATTAGCTTTGGCATTGTTGTACATACAAGCTGAGAAACAAGAGCAGGCGGAAAAAATACTCGAACCAGTTTCGGCGCTATATATAAAAAAAATAGTTGTAGAACATTGGGATTTGTTGTTTGATATGACTGCGATGAAGAAAAGAAGTCCGATGATTCCTACGTTCTCTGACTTCGCCGGCATGTTGATGCGTCAGAAAAACTCAACGTTCGCCGAAATTTTAATACAGATAATAGAAGATGATGGAATTTTGTCTCTTCATCAAATTATACAAGTATTTCTAGAATACCTACCGTCAAGAGTCGGTAGAGATGGGCACAATGCGGCTATGACCCTACAAGTTTTTCTCGAGAAATATCTTCACAATTATTTCAGTACAAAGTTGATTACTGACTCATCTGTTATAAACAAGAATCAAATACGCACGGATTTCGCTTTGGTAGAAGCGTTTAAGTTATTAGTGCGATCGTATTTAGGCAAATTAACTCAAACTAAAGTGTACAAATTAGAAAGTAGAGATAATAACGTACAAGAAGGCTACGACAATTTCATGTTCGCAAAATTCAGACCACATTATTTGAACGGAATGCCTCCTTATGCACAAGATTACCAGAAGGTGTTAAATACGTGTGATCTGAAGGACTTAGCTAATATCGACAAGACTGACACTGAGAAAACTATACCTACGGAATTGTTTAAGTTGCAGTCTATATTATCCTGTGATTTTATACCAAACGAATGTTTGTATGAAGTCAAACAGTTCCTTGAAACGCAAGAAATTGATGGCGGCCTGTCTTTGAAAACTCTGTGTATTAAAAACACGGAAGAAGTGACAACGCTCCTAATGGATAACTGCCCTCAAGTAGTTGTACAATATGCGAAGGTGTTTATCATGTACTTTGCTCCATTAGTTTACATCATCTTCTTATAAGATTAAATTTTACAAGATTATTTATGTATTTCAGGATATGTATACCAAAGACTCTGAATGGAAATATCTAATCGAATTAACGCAAAATAAAATTTCTTCATCAATCGCGCGACAAGAAATGCATTGTTTGTATACGCAAATCATGAAAGGTACACGATCTTATTTTAATCAAGAGAAAAGTCAGAATTTATTTACATTGACAAAATTTACTATGTTATCTTTTAACATTTCAGCAATTTTAAGTTACCTGCCGCATACATTATCTTTAAAGAGTCTACATCGTGTTCTCCCGAAAGACGATGTAATAGCATTTCAGAAATGTAGTGAAATGTGTAATCAGATCATGCACGCGGAACATGTTAAATCTTTGATAATGGAAACTGGGCAACAACTGTTATCAACTTTAAAATTGTGAACGGCAATTTCAGTAAAATAACTTCACCGTCATTTGACGTTAATATAGGTCCAATTTACTTCGGTTGGAAACAAAAAACAGTATGACTTAAGTGCAACAGAAAGTTCTGTTGCATGAAAATTATATAGAAGAAATACATATAAAACAAATAACACTTAGTCGAATTTGTTGAGAACAATAATTCTACATGTGATACGATCTTTGCAAAGTCTTAATCAATCGTAGTTTTACGCTTAAAATTATTTGACATGTAACTATTGAATCCAATTCTTTAAAATTAAGAGTCTATTTCTTCTTGCAGAATATATTTAAATTCTTAAATAACTTTTCAACTATCAATTCTGCTTTCATAAGTATTTTTTTTTTAATTACTTATAATAATAAGTTTATAAAAAAATTTGTGTCAAATGCACAATTACCGATATATCTTGACTATTTTATTGTTTATACTTTTTAAAATGTGCACACCTTTTTTACCCATTAAGCGTTTAATTTTCGTTATGACCGTAGTCACGCACAAAATTCTTATGGGTAAAAGTATATCAAAATATGTCAAAAATTTAAGGCAAATATTATAGATAAAAGTAACTCATCTATAACTGATTGTTGAAATGTTCTATATAGATATATTGTATTATGTCTAGACGTATGTTATCTTACCCTTAACCGATGAAATAGTTGAACCGTAGTTAATAAAAATTTATACAGAACCGAAGATATAGCTATCAATACGCATTGTACGTATGATATTTAACATAATAGATTGCTTTCTACACTGAACTAAGAAATTCTGTAATGATGATCATGTATTTTTGACTGTTGTTTCTATATTTCTATGAATCCGTTGAACATTGTTTATATTTTATTCATTAAGGGCGGGATGACATGTGTTTAGAAAAACACATATTACTGAGATAGTTACTTTCTATTATATTCGTTGATCTTATGATGTAGAATTTTCATCACTTTCTGAATGTTACAGAATATGTAACTTTGATGTGCCTTTAGGACTCATTTCTCTTTGTTATAAATCTAATAATATAATTATGTTAGAAGTGATCTATTATATTTATAAATTATGATAAATAATATATACGTAACTCATCTCACAATGTTTCTTTATTATAGTGTCGTACTTTTACTATAATTTTGTTTACCTGTTTAAAAAAAAAAATAGAAATTACTCGTGTTTGTTTAACATCTTCAATCTTATTAGTTTGCTCAGGGATTAAAGTATTTTACGTAACTTTTAAATGCATAACAATTTTATTATATAGATACAATTTATAACCCGTTTTTAATTTATATAAGATGAAATAATAAAAAGCTATATACCTATTGGATATAGCTATTTAATAAAGTTCTAAAAGTATAGAATATCTTAATTTGATACTTAGTATTTTTAAATTAACCCCTTTTGTAATAAAGAAATTACACTGTTATATGAAAGCAATCCTAGTGTTTGTTTGTATATACATTTTTATATTTATTAAAAAATATTTTTAACTATTTTTTTGTGGTATTTTAAATATTAAACAAGGTTTATTTTTCCTTATCAAATAAATTTAATAAGTTTAAAGTTATGCAATTTCAAATTCTTCGTTCAACCTTGATAAGTTTCTGAAAAAATAAATGATATTGTATGTGCAAAGAGGTTTATGACTTCAGTAAAGGTACCTGTTTAGACATACCTATTTTCTATAGCTTCATTTAAATTGTATTTATGCATTAACGAAATGACAAGCCTTAACGTTGACCAAATAATATTCGACATCGCCTTTGGAGAGAAATTTTCACCTTGCATTCCACGACCCGCAGCTTGTTGATTTAAGGCTATTAAAAGGTGTTCACCGGCTTCTCTACAAAACAATAAATAATTCTGATGTGTAATAAACGTTGTATTATACACAATTATTGTACTTACTTATATGCACCAAGATTAATACAAGAAATTCCGAGATTATAACGAGCTCTAATAAAACCAGGTGATAATCTTAAGGCATGATGGTACGCGTTTATAGCTTCTTCTGATTTTTGACCATTTGCTAAAGTTGCGCCCAACCTATTCCACAATCTGGAATCCTTCCATAAATATTATTTTTAATAATATAATAATGCCAATACACATATAACGGAAAAAAATTATTTTATACATACATCAGGGCGTACTTGCAGGGCTGCTTGGAAACAATCACAAGCCTTATCATACTCATTTGATAAATTGAACAGTACACCGAGCCCACACTGTACATCTGGATCTATTTCGTTTAAAGGATTTATACGCGCAGCTTGAATATAAAGATTTTTTACTTCTTCATGTACATCGCTAGCGGAATCAAATACAATATTATTAGCACAAATCTACACACAATTTTAATTTATAATTTTAACTATTAGTTACTTACTCAAATAAAATAGACGATACATTGAATTTTGTTTGTGGTTCAGTGTTAGTCTTTCTTGTAGAAAGGTGTTTGTATTTTTCATTTCTTAATAACCACTCTTTAAGAATTATACATGCTTGATTTTGATAGGACTCATTTGTATATGAAACTGCAAGTGCCATAAGAGCAGTACCATTTGCAGGATCTATGTCTAAACAACGTTTTAAAGCATAAATAGCTAGTGGATCCTGCTCATTTTCTGCCTGGGTTTTACCAAGAAGTAGCCAAGCTTCTGGATTCTTTTCATCTTGCTGTACTGCTGCCTCAAAGCAAAGTATTGCACTTGGTAAATCTCCAGCTTCTAATCGTTTCTTACCCTCTTCCAATGCATTTGGCAGATTTTTCATTGGATTTTCTTCATGAAACTCGTAATCTTTAAACGGATCATAAAAAGTGTCATATTCTGAAAGCCATGGATGTTTAGATGACAACTTCTCAGAAGGTGATATCTTTTCCAACTCATTTTGAAGTTGTACAAATGTAGATTCATAATTGTCTGCTTCTAAATAAGGATAATTTTTTCTGTGTATTTTCAGAGAAATCTAATTCAATGTAAAATTAATTTGCATTACAATAAATACTAACCTGAAGAAGTACTTTCTTTTTGAAATTCATCTATCCAATTATCAACAACAACTGATTCTTTTTCAACCTTATTTAAGATCTCATCTTCTTGAGTATTATTATCAGAAACTTTACTTTCAGACTTTTCATTAATTTTTTCAAATTGTTCAGACCACTCTTTGCTTGAATCCTGAAAATCTGGCAGTGATTCTTGATCATTATCAACTAAGATGTCTCCCTCTTGTTTCATGAATTTCATAAATTTTGAGTATGCAAAGTTATGATTATCATTGTTTTCCATTGGTTGTGTTGCGTTTTCTATATTCATATCATTTTGTATGGCATCTATACTGTGTTCTATATATTCTTCAGCCCACTTAGGTCCTAATCCTAGTTCGTGCTTTTGTTGAATTTCTGTGTTTGAAGTTTGTTCTGATTCCGGATTCCAAATATCATCAGCATGGTGTTCCTACAATAACAGTAATTTATTTATTATATAATGTTGTTGACATTCATCACAAAAGTAAAATAAATATAATTACATTAAAGTGACGTCCTGATTCAAGATATTGATTTGCCCAAGCTGTATCTAAAGTAGTTAATTCTTGAGCTACTCCTGGTGCTGCTATGGGTGGATGAATGTTTTGATCAATTTCACGCATTTCTTGTAATAAATTATCCATTCTAAATGTTTGAGGACACGAAGGATGTTCTTCTAAAAATTGTTTAACTAACTGATCTGAATCTGAAGCTTGGAAAGATTCCACAGGCTCAAAAGGTCGATGTATTCCTTCTTCTTTGAAACCATGATCACTTACAAAATGTGATGTAAGACGAATCAAAGGACTAGGTCCTCCACAGTCACCCTCGACTAATTCACGAAATGCCATTTTTCTTTTATATTGTTAATATTCACCTGTAGTAATAACCCAACAGATTATGTTCATTTTGAAAAATTCTAATTATAATATCTAATAACAGATGACAAATTATCCAAATATCAACAAATGATAAAATAGTAATCAAAAATAATATTATCAATTTTATTTAATCTTGAAAGAATTTGATGATAAACATATTTAAGATATAGAATGTTTATTTCAACAATTTGATTTAGATAGTGTAAAAAATTTGGTATTGACATTAATAACAAAATGACTTTGAATTTTATATTCAGAAATACGTAGAATATACAAACCTCTTTCAGTTTTTAATATCGCAAAACACTTTCGTAATATCGTTGATGTTACACTGAAATATGGTTTTGTATCAAGCACAATGTTTGAGAGTGATCATTTCTTTGCTACCAAACAATATCAGTAACTTGCATCAAATAAGTTTCGTCATACGATGGTGGGGCGCACAAAATTACCATAAAAAATGTATAAGTTAATGTTAGAATAAGATGCATATTACAAAGACATTCTTTACATACAGTTGGCTAGTGAACGTCAAATCATCGACAAGTTGCTGAACTATCTAAAGCCATGAACATCTTTTTTGTAACAACTATACATAATTTTTTATACAAAATATATACCTTTAATTGACTTTTCTTCTATAATTAAATTTACTGCTTTTAATCAATGAATTATTTATAAAGTAATAAAGTTGCTATAAAAAATAATATTTGCATTTTACGCATTGCACGTATTTGAGGATGTAAAAACGTTAACAGTATAGTAGCGTACTTTTGAATCATATTCTATGCAGAAAGATATATTTAAAAAGACCATATTATTAAAATAGTTACAACAAATTCTCATATTATTCATGAAAAGTTCATTTAATACATGTAAATGAAATATATTTAAAACTATCTGCAAAAAATATGTTGAAATTGGACAAACTTTGTTGAAGGCGTGCACTAGTACACAAGGTTTACCGTAACGCCACCATGCGAGTGTTATGAAGATTTAAACAGTGGGTTAACCTTCAGGAAACGGCGTAGTTTTTCCTTATTTATATATATATGTAACAGAACTAAATGTATTTCTGGAAAAGCGTACATCGTTTATAACTTGTACATATTTTATTACTTTATTAATGAATTGAAATACTTGACATTATATTACAACTAAAGAACAACAGCTGTTGTAGTCATACAACAGTAGTCATGAATGATTTTGCGAAATCTCAACTCATGAAATATGGGTGGACAGAAGGTATGTTGTTAACATTATGATATTTACATTTAAATCACAAATATTGCAGTATACCTTTATTCTATATTTAATTTAATGGACTTAAATAATAGTGCACTAAAATTATGTCCACCGTTAATGTCTATTAAAAAATTTTAATCTTGTTCTTTATATTAATACAGGCAAAGGTTTAGGTAAACATGAAAATGGTATAGCTGAAGCATTAAAAACAAAATTAAAATTAGATAAAACAGGAGTAGGACATAAAGATAAAGATTGGCATAACTGGTGGGAAACTGCTTATAATAAAGCAGCTAATAGTATTAAAGTTGATTCACAAATTGATGATGTTCTCATATCACTTCAAAAAGAGAATAAAAGTGATCTATCAGAAGATTCAAATAAAAAACAAATGAAATTTCAAGCTTCTCTAAAGTATTCAAATTTTCGTAAAACTTCTACACTTCTGAATGGCAATTTAATAACAGAAAATTCTACTGCATCTAAAGTAGAAGATGCTCCTAGTATTACAAATGTTTCATTAACTGATGAAGAATTATTTCAAATATGTGGCGGTAGAACTGCTCACAAAGGAGCAAGACATGGATTAACATTAAGTGGTAAACTAAATAGGATTGCCCAACAGGAAAAAGGTTTATTAAACATTACTGCATATAGAAATACTAACATAGAAAAATTAGAAACAAATAACAACAAATCTGAAAGTAATGAGCACGAAATAGATAATAATAATGACATTGTATCATTACCTATACATTCTTTTACTGAAGAATTAATAGTTCCTACAATATCTAAAAACGATAGAAGGAAAGCTAAGAAGCGTATAAATACCTTAACCCGTCAGTTAAATAATCTATGTAATGTAAGTGATAATAACAATGAAAAAGATATGCATAGTACAGATAATGGAGTACTCAAAGAAGGATTAAAGGTAGAAGAGAAAGAGAAAAGTAAAAAATGTAAAAGAAAGAAAGAAAGAAGGGGTTCTGCATCTGGTGATTTTAAAAGCATCCAAACAGAAGAAATTGATACATCATTTCTTTTTAGTAAAGAATTAGCAAAGAAGAAGAAGATGAAGGGAAAGAAAAAGAGAAAGAGAAACAATGATATTCAAAGTAACTTTAATGAGTGTATTCCAGATACTAGGAATGATGAGGAATTAGCTGGTTCTAAGGCAAAAAAATTGAAGAAATCACAAAATAGTGATTCTACTTTACAGCTCTTTACTAAAGATAAATTTCAAACAAAACTTCATTGTGATCGAACATCTACACATTCAAATCGTGTAAGTGATTCCAGTGAATATATTTCAGATGTATATTTTAAAAACAAGATAGACAGATTAAATGCCAAGATCAAGAAAAAAAAGAATTCAAAATTTCTTAAAAAACAAGAAAGAAAATTATGTGCAGATTTGGAAGCTGTTCATTTTGGTACTGAAGAATTAACAGAGAAAAAAAAGTACGTAAAACAAAGTAGAAGCAATAGAGAATGTAATCACAAGTAATATTGCATTTGATAAAATTAAACTTTCAAAGAAGATGTAAAAGAAATGTAATAAACGAAAAGCTTTGGAAACATTATAAAATGTTTGTTAGGTTCCATATAATTAAAGAATTATTTGTATAAAAATATGTAATAATTTTTACCGCAATTGTATATACATTTCTATACATATAATAATCATTTTGTTATGCATGTAAAACATCTTCTATATATTTATTCTTTAAATATACAATTAATATTTTTATAGGTATGGTGTTATTGATTAAAATTTTTTTTGCAAACTATTACAATTTTTGTAATTATTTTTTCTATATTATTTTAGCAAAAATTAAACAGGAAACAATCATATAATGTCAAACTTTCAGCAAAATTTAAAAATATTAAATTTTACACATTTTAAAACATTCTTAACATCTTAGTTTTTTATACATTTATTAATGGACACAATTTTTATACAATTTATTAATTGTCCTTAACAATTTAATAGGAGCGTAACAAATCAGCCGCACACTTACGATCTTATACAGATGATATTTACTTGTATATAGCTCGTAAAAATGGGAAGAAACATATTTTTAACAAATATCTATTATTAAGAATCATTTCATACATTTTGTAGTATGCTAATTACAATTTTTTTAATAATATCTTTATATAAAATAAGACAAATTTTCTAAAGTTACTAAAATACTCTGCAGAGTCTAGTAATCTTAGTTTTGTTGTTATAAGTGAACAAATTTCACTCAACAAACTTATTGAATTATAATATCATTTATATTGTTTAATTGAGCTAATAATTGATTCACTAATTCTGTAATTCGTTATAGGATTATCAAAAAGTAATATCCTTTCTTACACTTATAATCATTAAAATATCGTATAAATACAATACAATCGAATTCATGTACTAGAAATATTATTATCGCTAGCCTTAATAAATACATTGATATGAAATTCTAAATTAATAACTGCAAAGTACATGTTAAATAAATAATTGCTATTATTTAGATACCATTATACGATTGCAACAGTAAATTTACATAAACTTTGTGTAAGATGTATAGGATACACATAATTGCCGCATTATATGTAAAAAATAACATATTGAATTTCAAAATTTTAGCAGCATTGGTCTCAGAGAATTAGCATTACTTGAGACTGAAATAATATTAATACAATTCTATATCATACAAATACAATAGTGAATATACAATTCTTAAACAAACTAAACTTTCACTTAAAACAATTAACTATTAAACATTACCGATAGTAAGCGTAAATAGCAAAATATATGTGTGTATATATAAATGTATATAATGTGTTCTTGTAACAATTCTTTTAGAATCGTATAAAAACTTAAATATATTGGAACGATTTCATTTTATTTAGGCAATAGGTATAATATAGTATACTTACAATGTATTTTATATATCTTTTGCTATTTTACTTACTAGATGATATTAATCGCTTGGAAATTTCAATTATATGAAATGAGCTTTTTCATGTAAATGAATTTAATTTGATGTTTTAATTTGTGACGAATGTTCGAAGTATTTCATAACACTAACAGAATATAAAAATATATTATTTACTACTACAGATCTTTTAATTTTTATAATAGAAAAGCTTCAAAATCAAATGCAAGTAGGCAATTGCAGTAATAATTACATATCAACATAGGATATTAACAAGTATTAATCAGATTTTTGGAACAATATAATATCATAAAACTGACATAATTTATAAGATTCCTAACAAGATCTTTTTGTATGAGATTTCTAATTTTCTCACGAATTGCTGAAAATACATGAACCATCTGTATTACAGTGTTTCTATTCCAAAAACGCAGACACATCACAGTATAACTGTGGCAATTTACTTATAAAACATACATATTCATACTGCCTCTTTTGCACTTCTTTATAAATTTTCGGATTACAATATAAATTGGATACGTTAAATTATGATTATTTAATAATATCTTTAGAGATTCTTCTAAATAAATATTTTTTAATTATTGAAATTTTATATACGTAAAAAAAATTAATCTATGTAGGAGATCTAATTGACAGTGTATCCTTAAATCCTATCACTATTCAAATGGGAAAACAGTCTATGAAATTGAAATAATCTACAAATATCTAACACCCTAAAAGCAATTAACGTAGTATTATAAAATATTATAATATGTAAAGAAAATAAATAGTAATTTTACTAATAACAACTGTTAATGGCAAAAAAGAATAATAAATTCGATCACAAAAAAAATTATATCAACAATAATTAAATGTGGTGCTAAAATATTCTTTACAGTTAAATACATTTGTTGAGATTTCGTCTTTTTACTATATAATATCCAACATTTCTACTACTTCGACTTAAAGTAACTGATTGTTTATCAGTATGAGAATGATTACCGCAACAGAAATTCGTGTCATTTAACTTGTTCCATATCACGTACATATTAGAGGCATTAACTTTATGTGCTGTAATAGCATTTTTTAATATATACGGATCCAATTTACGAGGAACATAACTAAAGCCGGGATGATTTACGGGACGTACTTTTGCACGCTTTGCACAAAGACCAGTGATATAAACATCTTCCAAATGAAGTAGCGGTGTTATTAATGCTGCATGGTACAATTTAAATGCCACATCTAAACTCATTACGTACCCAGTACCCGATAAATAGTTAGGATATATTTTTTCTGAGTACATATATTTTGGTGTATACCTGATTAAACATAATAAAAAACAATATCTATAAAAAAACCAATAGATATAGTCTTATTACTATGTGCCTGCCATAAGAAGAGCCCCAGAAAAGCAATGAAATGAATATTGCTGCTATTGATTAAAGTATAAAATGTATATCTTGTTTCACATGGTTTTTCGGCGCAAGCGGAAATCTTACTGGGATGGTCACACACCCACCAATTAAGATTAAAATCAAGGACATATGGTGACCAGATCTTTTGACTTCCTGTATTCTTAGGGCTTCTCAAGTGATAGCAGACAATGCATAATTATTTCATAACATTTATATTACTTACCATTTATTCTTTGGATCTAAAATAGGTTTAGCATTGCAGATAAGAGATCCTAATAATGTATTAGTAGTTTGTGATCTTGATTTCAATGTTTTTACTAAAGTAGGAATATTTACAAACATATCATCATCTGTTTTCATTAGATATTTTGCTTGACCACAATTTGATGTTACCCATTTCAACATCATAACAGACTTTAATGTTAAATTGTTGTATGTATCATAAAATTTTTCTTGGATAATATCATTATATTGGTGACTTTCTTCAACTATTACATTCTGTAACAAAAGCTTTTATTAATTTCATCATTAATAAAAGTATTAGAAATTAGTAATTTTAATTATGCATGGGTACATACATTAAGTGTATCATTATCACTTTGTCCAAGAAGAAATGCTACCTTTATTATTGAATCGTATATATTATTTAAATTACTTTTATTTGCCCAAGTATTTCTTATAGCTATTCTAGCTTCAAAATCTGTAATAGCTGAACAAATAACTATAAGGAGAAATGGTGGCAGAGAACATATACCCGTAGGATTTAACACCAATGTTGTATTTTCTGGATGAATATATATATAAAGATCTCTTGAGGTATTATATGTCCATCCTGGCAACTGTGCTGTAAATAAATTATTTAGAAATATTTTATTCCATCACCGAAATAAAATTATATTCATAAATCTTTATCACCTCAATTTCAATTCTATGCATGCTAATAAAAATAAATTACTCTTTATACTTTAATATTATATAAGCATAATAAGTTGAAGAAAGGAAAACTATGTAATCTTACCACTATTTCTTCTACTATTTAAATTTTTTTTTACTCTAATTTTAGGATAAACAAATTATATAAAAGAATAAGTCATTTATAATTACAATACTAACTTTACTTTTTAGCTTATCAAAAAATCCCTCTTTATAACATATTTTTTCTTATACAATCTATGATATTAGTTAACCTGGCATAGACTAAAGAATATAAATTTCAACTGCCTAACAATAGTAATAGAAAAAATGAAAGCAAATTTATATATCAAGAATGGTTAGTTTATAATGCAAGAGTTCAAGCACCGTTAGTGAATGCATACCTACGGAAACTACCGGGTGTGGGTCACCAACAGGCTCTGCAGGAGATAGAGTCTTACCTAAGCCTAAAAATGGACCTTGGGCAGAATGGTATGCTGGTACATATAATAAACCTAATGTAGCTAAAATGACAAATCCTAGTGCTAATCGTCGAACAAATGATATTTTCCCTTTAACCATTCCATTAGTATTTAAACTGGTAGCTGATGGCAATTCCAATGGTAATAATCGCAATCTATCCATCTAAGAATAAACAATATACATTTCTTTACATTAAATTATTTTATTAATTAATACTCTAATTCAAAAGAACAAAAATTGACTTTTAATATGTATATTACTTTTATAACATGTACATATCTGTATACATAATTTATATATGTATACACATGTTCTGTTTATTTATGTAAACATTATCAAATTATATACTACATGGAGTATTAAATCTAACTTTATAAATTTATGCATAGATAACATTTTTCTTATAATATATAAGAAAAATATAACTCTCTGTAATTGTATGTATATTGTTTTGTAATTATTTTTATCGACTTATTAATAAAAACAATATTTATAATTGTTATAAATATATTAGCGCAGTTATAGCATGAGAATTTATTTAAATTACAGATGCACCAATAGTGCATCATACAAACATTAATTTTGTAGGAACCATTGATATTAAAATAATTAAATCTATCAATGTTTTAAAGTTACTTCATCCTAAAACAGTTATATAATATAAAATAACAGTGTTGTACCATAAAAATTAAAATATAACAGCGTAATTAAATTTGTGCATCGTAAACAAACTTACCTTTGAGATATGTTGATTGCGTTACGTCGCATTTGACAGTTCTCCATTTACTTTCATCGTATAATTTATATTAAAAATATAATTTGTCTAGTATAATTGGTAATTTCCGGAGCAATTTCGGAGTATTTCGCACAGATCTGGTGCCATGTTTAATTAATAATAAAAGAGTAAAACAATTTTACGTCATTCTTGCTTACATTCAGATCAACAGCTTGAAATAATGCACGAGAGATTCTGTTTATGACGTATCTGTCAATTGAAAACCACAAGATTATATCAACTTTTTACACTTGTGGTGGCAAAACAAGAAGTATAGGTATTCATAGTGTTTGCTTCCTTTTTTAACCGACTGCAATAAATGCAACATAAAATCACTTTCAGTTATAAAGACAGTCTTGTGATCTCTTTTTTATAATTTAATGAGTAGTCTAGTCTAGATGGTATTATGGAGATTATTTATATAGAATATATAGATTGTCTTTGATTTGTAAGAAATATGTAAGACTGGTTTCAACAGCACCAGTGGCGCAATTGGTTAGCGCTTGTAAGTCTGTCTTCCTAGGGAAAATGGTGGAGAAGACAGAAAAGTCCCACCACCTGCAACAACTTCAGAGCATTGGCATACATTATGCCTAATTCATAAGAATTAACTAGGTTTGTTTGAATAGGCGCTTATTAGTATGGGCCAATTGGGAGGAAACCTCCCAAGCGCCCTCTCGTAAGAGAAAATAAAGAACAGAATAGGCGCTTCGCGTCTAACCTAACAATGTTGAGCGTGCGAGTAAATTTCACGCTAAAGCAAAAATAGTCAACCGTGTCATCCGGTTGAATTGGTTGAGTGGTGCAAGAGAAAAACGCGGACAAAGAAGTTGCAAAGTCAAGTATAAGAGCTTCGCTCGCCTTCGGTTCGCTCGCTCAATAAAGAATTACATTTGTTCAAATAAATGCTTACTTTTTAAAGCAAGCTGGTTCATCTTATAGTAGAAAATAAATAATATTTGTCTGCAAATAATTCATTGAAAAAGTTTAAGTATTTTTGAAATCTCATTCTTACATGTTCTTTGAAATTTATACTTACGCGCACTTTCTCAAAAAACAGTACCACTAACGCCATTTAGCAGCGAGCGATAGTATTAATAAAATACAAAATGATCTTTCTGTACAAAAACTTTTACGATTCGTGGTATCTCGAATGGTGCATTTAGCGAGCACGAATGTATCCGTCTCAAGAAAGAAAAATATTAAAAGGAAGGAAAAGAAAGGATTTAACTCGTAGCATTTCGCTCGATATCGTTTTCTAAAGAACATTTTTTAAAAAAATGTTTAGAAAACGATATCGATTACCAGGTCACACCACGAGGAGGTAGCTACGAATGTGACCCACCCTAACTCCAAATCCCTACCACCCTCCAAATGCAACCTCATTTATCAGAAGGATAAATGAGTTCTGACTCTACATAGCTTGTAGGCTCGCGTATACAAGTTCTTTACCACAAAATTGCAAAGAACTTGTATTGCACGCACACACATACATTAACTTAATACTAATCCCATGGGATTACACACACACGTTTAACTTATTCTAAACGCACGGTACCTCTCATTCCAAGATTGCACTCAAATAATCTATGACGAATTCAAAAAGCAAGGGGAAGAAAGTTAGAAGAACTTTCTGACAAAAAGAAAAGAAAGTTAGAAGAACTTTCTGACAAAAAGGAAAGAAAGTTAGAAGAACTTTCTGACAAAAAAAGGGGATCAGTATTTCTCGCCAAGCGAACCTCGCCTTCCATGGGTCAAAGGGTAGTCCATAGTGGCTTACGTGAACCACGAGACCGAGATGAACCGAAAATACTGGCAAGAACGAGTGACACATCCGCGGAGGGTCTCCCATTTCTCCCCGCTTGCGTTTGAAGCAAGTCTGACCGCAGAGAGGAGACCCCTGCCGTGAGGCGGCAGATCGAGATGAGCCATCAATCGATCGGCCCCGCAGAGATGTGTCCCTGGCGCTACACCAGCACTTGCAGCTCACCTCTGCCGCGTGTTCACAGCGCTATG